TTTCATGTAGTCTGGGGCAATTTTGGCATTTGATAGCTCCTTAATTAATTTCTCTCTCTTGGTTTTCTACTTTGACCAGGCTGTTGACTCTGAATGAGAAGGAAATCGCGGTTGTCAGTCATAGTGGATTCTTATTTGAATCGATGCGTGAATTTGGAAACGATTGCGATGTATTTATACAGAGTGAAATCCGCGAACAGTAAGCATTACCCTGATATTTTATTAAGGATCTAAAAAATATGAGTACAACGTCATTTTTCAACAAGTGTTGGAGTTTCCAACTTAGGCACGTATTTAAATATATGACATCAAATGTATTTAATCTCTATTATTTGATGTCAAAGGGAGAGCTTAGGAGAAGTATTGGGATACCATATAAATTAGTGTTGTCAAAGCTCCTACATTTGATTTTAGGGCTTGAAATTTAGTTTTTCTTTTTTTTAATCTGGACTAAAGATCAGATTAACTTTATTATGCAGTTTTGCCAACGCTGAGCTTCGTTCCATTATTCTTATCGATAGGAGGTAAGCACATTTCTCGATAGATCATTGTTTTCTTTGGGTATTATGATTTAAGACTCCATCAAATTGGTTTACCATTTGCAGTAGGATCGGGTCAGACTCCTCGAATAATTTCCCGGGAGGAATACCGCGAGGGCTCGATCTTCCTGTCGACATTGCAATTAAGAAGAATCCGGAATTTCAGAAACGCCTGAAATGTTATCCTAAGAAGTAGTTAAGTGGGATCAATAAAAATTTCTAATTACCTTCTTATTCCTTTCTTTGAGAGCTTTGTTGAATTCTAAGAAATTTTGTTCACAAAGTTATTATCTTTTGGGATTGTTGAGACTTTAGATTTAGAGTAAATGTGTCCAGCTGTGTCTTTCAGGGAGTACATGTATTTGCGTGTATTTTATGTGTCAGTTCATTGCAGGCCATCTTTTCTATTCGAGTACATGTATTTGCCTGTATCTTATGTGCCAGTTTCATTACAGGCGACCTTTTCTATTCCGTTTAATAAAATTAAGAACATTTTCTATTTCATATATAATTTTTGTCTTCAAATAGAAGGAACAAGATAGATGTGATTGTTTTATTAGGAAATGATCCCATAAAATTCTCATGAACGAAAGTTAAGAAAGTGACACGGGTCAAACCATTCGGACTAAATGACGTTGAGGTTAGACCACCAAACTAGACTAGTCCTGAGTTGATCGGATCCAATTGAGCCGCTCCATCCAAACCAATTCGAGAAAACTCCCTCTTGTGTGYGCAGATGTTTGCAGAAGCTTTCATCATCAGAATACGAATCTAAATTTATGCATCAACATTTGACACTATTAATTGGGGCAAATCCAAGTCCCGAGTCTGTTTTTTTCCTTTTACAATATTATATAGGATTTACTTTTTATGTAATATTATGTAGTATATATAGTTTCATCTAGGAAGAGTTTATGTCCTCTATAATATATTAAAAGGTCTTAACTTGAAAATTTTTTTGTTTGTTTTTGTTTTTCTGGGAGTACATGAATTATTGGATTTGTTGGTTTTAGAGCACACATTGGTTGAAAGACTCAATGTATTATTGTATCTTTTCATGTAGTCTGGGGCAATTTTGGCATTTGATAGCTCCTTAATTAATTTCTCTCTCTTGGTTTTCTACTTTGACCAGGCTGTTGACTCTGAAT